TCTCAGATGAGAGGGAGATCAAACGATGCCGGGGTAAGAAGAGGAGGAGAAGGGAAATGCGAGAAGGAATTAAGATGAGTTCTGTACATGTACCAACTTCTGCAAGGAATGTAAACATTAAGTACTACTTATACCGATAAAAATGTTTTAAAAATAAAAACACCAAACTTCCCAGCCTTTCACAGCACGCTATAATAATACAGCTACCATTTATAGAGGCCTTCTATTATGCTACACACTTTATGTGTGTTTTTCTCTTAATTTTCACACAGCTCTATCAGATATTCTCGACCTCATTTTTTTCAGATAAGGAAAGTAACCCTCAGCTGAGGGTTTCTTGTGTGCAGTTACCCAACTAGGCAGTGCTAAAGCCTAAATTCAAGTTGATCAGACTCAAGTCTCATAACCGTATGAAGAGATAAATGTTATGTGGTTTTGCTGTAGAAAATTATTAACCAAAATAATAACTGGCATAGATATTTTTGATTGAGTGTTTTTGGCACTTAAAGTGGTGCAGAAAAAATGAGAGAGAGATAAGAGGGAGACAAAGGAGGAGGCCTTTAATGTGGGCCCGGGAGAGCTTCCCAGGGCAGCGGGTACGGAGGGTCTCAAACGAGAACAAGAAGTGGGACTACTTTGATCACTTTTGGCTCAGGGAGGAGTTTGAGAGGTGGGCAAGATGACATTAACTGCTGATTTGAAGGAGCATCCGCCTGTGTAAAACAGGAGACAGAAAGGTTTACTGGGGGCTGGAGGTGGAGGCTTGGATGGCTGTGGAGTCTCGGGACTGGAGAGGGTTCCGCACAAGTGCAAAAACAGAGTGGGAGGTTTATCTCTGGAATGAGAAGAACGTAGAGGTTACTCGTGGAGAGGTAAGTTGTTTCTTTGGGTTCGTACCAAGTTGGGAGGATGTAGCTAACCCCAGGCTAGCGGAAGCTATCGATTTTATATACCAGTTGTATATAATTGTATATAACTTTCTTATCACATTTATTAATTTTTATATTCATTAATGAAAATTATGACAAAGGGTGAATGCAAAATCTGAAGTATAATACTAATAATATGTAACACCTAAGTTTTTATTTAAATATTACAACATATTATAATCTACTTTCATCTGAGATCTGGAGACTAGTCACAAATGAACATAAGATCCAATAGCACTTATGTATATAGGTAGGTAAAATCACCTTGAGAAAGGAACCATCAAAGCTAACACATATTTTGAGGTGTTCAGTGGCTCGACTGAACCCTCTGCTTTAATTTCAGATGTCTTCCAAGTACAATTTATCCAGGAAGAGCAAATAGCAAAGAGGTCTTTTCAGTGGGGAAGAGATTACATCACTGTCTAGAAATCTCCTTTGATAACGTTGGCAACTCAGTGACGGCAGGCTAGAGGAAGAATGTACATCCAAGCATCACATATGAGGTTCTAGAAACATGATGCAAAGAAAAGAATAAGCTTCAAATCTGAGGCCAGTTTGGGCTACACATGAGTTCAAGGCCAGCCTAAATCACAGCAAAAGAACCTGTCTTAAAAAATGAAAGAAAAAAATTTTAACTCAGTCCAAGCTTTGTCCGAAGAGCCAGTTTCTTTCTCTCTCTCTCTCTCTCTCTCTCTCTCTCTCTCTCTCTCTCTCTCATTTTTCCCTTGAATAAATTTTGCCATTGTTTTTTGCTCATTTCACTCAATTTTTTGTTCTAGAACAAAATCTGACCCCAGAAGGAGAGGTGAGCTATTGAAAACCTGGTAACATTTAGTTGGTGAAATACCTTCTAGAAATAATCTACCTGACTTCCATGAAGATGCCAAAGTAGCAAACAGCAGAGAAATAGTCTCTCCGAGATTTGGTGTCCAGACCCTAGAATATAGCAACATGAGGAAGAGAAGGAGAGATGCGGGTCTCTAGGACCCAGCAAGGATCTGAAGCAAGGACTGAAGCCCACAAGGAGAGCTAAGACATCTCAACACAGAAAGAGCCCGCAAGCAGAGCTTTCTCCCCAAGCCCAGACTGACTGCGTGGAAGGGGCAGCTAAACCTGCAGGCCCCTGGCGATTACTGGTGCCTCCAGAGGCTTCCATAGCCAAATGCACCAGTGGGACAGAGCAGTGGATGCAACGGAATGCAGTGGCTACTGAGTTCTTCAAGATCAGACATCCCCATGAGAGAGTGGTTGGCCAGTAGAGCAGCTTCAAAGTAGCTCCTTCCAGTGGCTCCCAGTGTCAGAGTTAGGCAGAGCCAAGTTCAGGTTGGCAGGAGGTCAAGGAGCTGAGTTCAAGCTGGCAGGCACTCAAGTTCAAGCCAGAAGAAAGCATACAGAGTGCTACAGGTTGATCAAATTGGGTCCCAACCTCAGAGCCAGAAACAAGTCTGAAACTCAGTGGAACTAACGGTGCAGGCTTGCTGAGATTATCCACTACACTGCTACAAATCTGACTGGCTTGTTGGGAACAATCAACGTGGATCTGGGTTCTGTCTGCTCACTCTGTCTACCAGTTACAACAGGGGAATGCTCTGAAGTGGACATTTTTTCTTCTTTAATTTTGTTTTTGTTTTGTTTTGTTCTTTTTTTCTTGACTGTTTTGTTTTTCTATGTGTGAGCATTGTTTCAAATTTTGTTGTTGCTGCTCTGTTCTATTCTTTTTTTTCTTTCTTCGCTCTTTCCTTACAATCTTCTTCACCAGTTTCCCAAAGTTTACATGATCTTACTTTACCTTCCAGCCTTGCTGCTAATCTCATTGTCTTCTTTTATTTCCCTATATTTTCTCTATCCTCTTTTAAATTTTCACCCCCAATGGTAAAATTGCTAAACTGAGGGCATATTTACTGTATTCAATTATGTGGTTTATTTTAGAATTTGTTATATAATCACAGATATAGTTCATGGGACCAACGGTGGCAAATTAATAGTTTAATAGTTTGTCATTCTCTGGGCTGGGTTTGATACTATTGTTATGCCTGATTGTAATACTTTAGGTAATATGAAATAAATGTTCTAATCAGTTGTTCTTTTTGGTATGTCAAGACTGATATTGTCTAAGGGCCATAAACTGTAAAATAGGGGGCTGGGGATTTAGCTCAGCAGCATAAGCACCTGCCTTGCAAGTAGGCAGTTGTGAGTTCAATCCCTGGTACCGATAAAAATGAAAAAGACCAAAAAAAAAAAAAAAAAAAAAAAAACCTGTAAAATAGGCCAATGTCAGAAAACCAGGGATGAGGCCAAATAGGCAGATCCTTTTCATCTCCAAGAAACTGAAGAGGTAAAATCTTGCAACAGACTCAAAACCCAAAACCCAGCTACATATCTCTGAGAAGACATCTCTGAGAAGCAGTCATTCCTAAGGGTTCTCAAAACTAGCAATAAGATACTTGTCATAAGTAATTATTAAGTAACAACCCAGGAATTAAACTAGAAGAAGGAGGAGGACAAGGAAGAGGAAAGGGAGGAGAAAAAAAATAAGAAGATACTTAAGTAAGATGTAACCCCCAGACTTCCAGCTCACTAAAGGTGAACCCAATGAGGAGCAATGAGATGGGACAATTCAAAATACACCTACTTGGACTTTCTGAAGAGGTAACAATGGAAGTAACAAAGCAGATGAATGAGGCTCTAGGAAAAACTCAAATCAGAAAAAATTTCTCAGATAACTATAGAGATAATGACCCTAATGAAGCACATGACTAATGACTCTAGAGAAGATACAGATTTTTTTTTTGAAAAATAGGAGACCTTAGGGAAATGATGGAAAACACAAATGCCCAACATAGGAAAGAAATGGAATATATGAAACAGATTCAAATGGAAATCTAAGAGATTAAAAATTCCATTGAAAGTATATGCAGCAGATGAGCCAATGTGAGGACACAGTATCAGATATGAAAGACAGAATTGTGGTTAGCAATCATGAAAAGAAAGATTTCTTAAAAATAGCAAGGACCACAAAAAATCAATTCAGCAGCTACTACATAATGCAAAGGTAATAACATAAGATTAATTCATGTTGTTAGGTGTGAGGGCACATGCCTGTAGTGCCCCTCCCCAAAAGGCTGACTGGTGTCAATGAAAATGTAGGAGATAGCACAAATGACAAAAAAGAATCTGTTCACATAAGCAAGGCATATAATTGTCAAGATTCCAGAAATTCAATGAAAGAACAAAATATTAAAAGCTACTAGAGAAAAGAAACAAATCATCTATAAAGGCAAGACCAAGAAAATCACAGTAGTCTTCTCAATACAAATCAAGTTAAGGAGAGCTGGCAGTAAAGCATTTTAAGCCCCTAAAAACCCCCTGCAACCCAAATTGATGTACCCCACAAAACTATCTTTCAAAATTGATAGAGAAATACAGTACTTCTATGAAAAAGAATACCTGAAGAAATTCATGACCACCAAATCAACACCCCAAAATGTCCTCTAGAAAGAGATAACAAGCACCATAACTCTAATAACTCCAACAAAATGAATCCACCACACAAGGCAAATAATTAAACAGAGGGAGAAAAAAGGGAACCAACAACAGGAAAATAACATGACAAGGATAAATACATATCAGTAATAAGAATCTGTGTTAATGGTCTCAGTTCACCAATCAAAAGACACAGATTGGCAGAATGTATCAAGAAGCAAGATTCAGCAATATGTTGCATATAAGAAACACATTTAATTTTTAAAAAGTTCATAGACTGAAAGTCAAAGGATGGAAAACAAAACTCCACATGACAGCAATGCAGAAAAAGCAAGGATAGCTATTCTATTTGTAGACAAAATGGATTTCAAGCCAACATTGATGAACAAACACAAAAAAAGGCCACTACATCCTGGTAAAGGGAGCAATTCAAGGGGAAGAGATATAATCATCAATATATGCACAAATACTAGTGCACCTAAATATGTAAAACAAATATTAACTAACATGAAAAATCAAATAAGCACTAATAAAATTATAATGGGAAACCTCAATACCCTAATGTCACAAATAAATCAACACAATAAATCAGTCCTGAATCAAGACTGGCAGCTTCCTGTTGGTTTCAAGCAGGAGCCTAACGAGATGTCTTTTTATGATCTGTCGGCCATTTCAGAACTTTGGCAGTGAAATGGTCAATTTGTTAGAAAGAAACAGCTTGAAGCAACTCCTCTTCCCCTGGTGAGCACCTGTGAGCATGGCAGGCTCCAGTGGCCCAGCATTTACTGAGACCCCTGCCATGCTGGGACCTGGAGTGCTGGGAAACCAAACAACTCCTCCCCACCTGGTGAGTGGTTGTGAGCATGGCAGGCTGTGGCGGCCCAACATAAGAGTCACTGGTTTTTACTGGGACCTGCACCATGCTGGCACCAGGAGCACTGGGAAACCAAGCAATCCCTCCCCCCTTGCCTATTTTTTTTGTTGTTGTTGTTGAACTTCAATATACATGAAAGTATGGGTAGCTATTTTGAAGAGAATGAGAGACTCTACAACAGCCATTAGTGACTTTCCTATTGTGTGGTTTTGAAGACCTAAAATGCCTTCTTCATTTAGTTTGGATGAGTTTTATAATATGTTGTTTTGTATGAACTTTCTGTATGTGAAGACATGGACAACTATTTGGAAGAAAACAAGAGACAATATGTTAGTGAAGATCTCAGGTCATCTAGCTTTGAAATTTATCTCTTACATTGCTTTCTTATATCCTATTTGGTTCTGTTTTGTGGTGTTTAATTTTACTCCCTTTAAAATAAAAATTAAAAAATTAAAAAATAAATCAACAACAACAAAACCCAAAGAAGTATTATAACTAAGCCAAACTTTTGAACAAATGAACTTAGTAGATCTCTACAAAGTACCTCATCCCACAACATCCAAATACACATTCTTCTCAGCTGCACAAGGTTCATTCTCTAAAATATACCACATACTAGCTCACAGAACATGCTTAAGTAAATGCAAAGGAACTGAAGTTATCCCACATATATTATCAGACCATAGTGCAATGAAATTGGGAATCAATGCAAAAGAAACCACAAAAACTTCATAAACATATGGAAATTAAATAATACCCACCTGAGCAACAACTGCATCACAGATGAAATTAAAGATTTAGACAGGTTCTACAATTCAACAATAATGCCAGTACAATATACTGGAACTTATAGGATGCAATGAAAGCAGTCCTAAGAGGAAATGCTATAGTGGTGAATTCTCATATCAGAAAGACAGAGTAAGCTCAAATAAACAACTTAGTGCTGAACCTTAAGCTTCTAGAAGAAGAAGAGCAAATCCAACCCAGAGCTCATTAAAGTAGGAAATTATAAAAATCAGAGCAGAAATTAATGCAGTGGAGACTAAGAAAAGATCAATGAATCAGAGTTGGCTCTTTAAAAGACTGAATAAAATTGACAAATCTTTAGGTAATCTTATTTTTAAAAAGGAAAGATTAGAATATATGCAATGAAGAGTAAAAAGGGTGGACTCACAACAGATGATGCAGACATTCAGCATATTGATATCTAATTCAAATAGCTGTATTTTAATAAGATGCAAAACACAGAAGAAATTTCCAGATTCCTAGATGCATATGAATTACCAAAGCTAAATCAAAAAGATATAAAAATTCTGAATAAACCAATGAAATAAACCAATGAAAATGAAGATGTAATTAAAAATCTATAACATGAGAGTCTAGATGCTCATTTATGGATGGAATCACTAATTTGATGTGTGTGATTTTTTAGGTATTAGTCCTTTGAAGAACAACTGGCATAGAAAATATTGCAAAGAATCAACAACTGGGATCTCATCTCATGAAAAAGATTTTTCTTTTTTATTTTAAAGAAGGTAAAACTAAACAGAACAAAACAGATCATAAGGAAACAATTTTAAGAAACATGGATTTCAAAGCAAGACCACTGGAAATCTTCACTGTCTATCATATTGTCTCTTGTTTTCTTCCAAATAGTTGTCTCCATCTGCATACACAGTGAATACATACTGAACATTATAGTACTAAACTAATCAGAACAGGATGATGAAGGCATTTTAGGTCTTCAAGACCAGACATTAGGGAAGTCAACAATGGCTGCCATTATGTCTCTCGTTCTCTTTGAAATAGCTGTCCTTATCTTTACGTATGCTGAAATTAAACATAAGAGACTAGACTAATATCACTCTGAACAGTGAATAAGAGTATTGCTAGATTTTATATCATAATGCTACAGAATTAGCACTGGATATCTTAGTGTCTCTTCTTCAGAGTACCTGTTCATTACATCATGCATTATATAATGTTCCCGTAAACTGTTTAGAAATTCTCCACATGTGTGAATCTCTACATGTATATCTATCCTTTCTGTATTATAGGGAAAAACAGATCAGAACAAGACAATAAAACAAATTCCTAGAAAAACATGAAACAAAAAAGACATATAAAACAACAATATTAGGTGATACATAGTAGTTACTATGCTGTCTCTTGTTATTTTCAATAGAATTGTCTACATGATCAGACATAATATAATTGAACATAGCATTACATAGCAATTTTAATAAAAACACAACATTGGAGACATTGCAGGACCTCAAAAGCAGTTACTAATCAAACCGGAATGGGTATTTTATTATATCTTGTCATCTTCAGAGTAGTTGCCTCTACTCTTAGACTTGATACTATCAAGCATACCAAATTTGAATAAAATCAGTCAAGACAAAACAGCAGTCTAACAAACCAGATTCAATTCAGATCAGTCATAGTAAGACAATGTAAGTAACACAGGGCTCCAGTTTAAGTTAATAGGGAATTAAGGATATTTACCGTAATATATCCTGCTATTTTGGGAATAGCTATCTGTGCCCTCAACTCTAGTATGAGTAGACAGACCAAAACAAAATAAAATCAAACTAAACAGAGTGATAACACTAATATGGCTTTTAAATCCTGATACACTATTAACAATGTCCTCTGCCTTCCTTTTTTAGACAGTTCCTCCTCTTTCCCTGTCTCAGGGTGCTTTGTACATTTGGGATCCCACTAACTCCTTTAGTTTTTAGATTAGAGGGCAACCCATTATCTATCTAAGTGGTGTTGAACCTTTTTACCCCTTAGCACGATCTTGAGCTATATTCCTTTACTTACTAAAGCCTCAACATTTTCCTTCCTTATAGCTGAGTAGTTCTCCACTGCACAAAAGTGTCATGACTTTCCAACTGCAGTTGGTATCTGCAGCTGCTGGATGAGCTGTCCCTATTTCTCTCTGGTTCCCTGTCACATAGAGCATCACTTTCTCATCTTTGATTTTCAGTTTATTAACCCTCTTTCAGGTTGAGTGTATTTCCTATTCAGAGCATCTCAGATCCTATCTCCTGAAGTACTTGGCCTGTGTTTCTTTTTGTTAGTGTATCAAGGGTATCTATATTAGAGATTATAGCCCGCCTTATCTGCCTCATCTTTACTATTCTATTTTGCTGCTATTATTTGTCCACTTTTCTCCTTCATTCCACTGTCTGCCCCGTTCATTGAGGCCTCTCTGCCACTGTTGCTGGAATCCTGGTATTTTTTTCTATCTCTCTCTAGAATGTCCTTCAGCATTTTTTTTGTAGGGTTGGATTGGTGGCCACAAACTCCTATGGTTCCTCCTTGTCCTAGAAACATCTTGTTTCTCAATTAATTTTGAGATTAATTAGTTTTTCAGTGTACATAAATCTGGGTTGGAGGTTATTTTCTTTCAGGCCTTGGACTCCTTCACTCCAGGCTCTTCTTCATTTGATAGTTTGTGTTGAGAAGTCTGTCCTTATTCTGACGGGTTTTCCTTTATAGGTAATCTGCTTCTTTTCTCTGTCCACTTTTAATATTCTGTTCTTGTGGTGAATTTCTGGGATCTTGATTATTATATGTCTGGGTGTAGATCTGTTTTGGTTCTAGTTAGTTGCAGATCTGTATGCCTCGTATATCTGAATATCATTTCCTTTTCCTGTGCTTGGGAAGTTTTCCTTAATTATTTCTGTGAATAGTCTTTTTAATTCATTTGTGGTTACTTTACTTCTGCTTCTTTGCTCATGTTTTTTATTCTTAAGTTATAGATCCTCTTGGCGTCTTCTAGCCTTTGTATTGTTACTTCCTGGTTCCTTATTATTTTTAAGAGAACTTTTCTTTCATGATCACACATTGCAAATCTATCTTCAAATTTTGAAAGGCTAACTTTAGTTTCTGTCAAGGCATTTTGCCAGCTTTCAATGGAGTTTTTAATTTCCTTGTAATCTCTTTGGGTTTGTTTCATGTATTCTAGATTTTGTTTATATTCTTCACCAAAGATTTCTCTTTTTTTCTGGGTTCCTAAATTCTTCCATCTGTGTCTTCTTGAGAGATGCTTAGCATTTCTTTTGTTAATTTTTTTTTATATCTGGCCTCACTTGGACTAGAATTTCAATGTTAAGTTCATCTATGAGGTCATGAAGGTGTTTTTTTTTTTATGTCTGCTGATGTTGTGGCCAATATTGCATGATTGCTGCACTGATTCTCTTCTGTATTTATCTCTCCTGGACTTACTTTCCCAGGGTCAGCAGCTGGAGGCTTTTTCTGATTTCTTTCTCTTGTCATATTTCTGGTTTCTTTCAGACAGGTATGTGGTGGAGGTCTCAGGCCCTCTCCATATTGCTTATGGTTTTTCTAAAGTGTGCTGGCTGGGGGCTTGCTGCCTTCTCCAGTTTGCTGTTTTCTGAGGTGCATGCAGGTATGATGCAGACTGGCCCCTCTTCTCTGAGCCAATCATCCAGCGAATGCCTTCAACAACATTAGTCTGTGCTTTGCAGATGTCACAGGTTTGGAACAGCTTCGTCCCTGGTTATTAGGTCCCAACCAGGGGTGTGACCCAGCCCAAGCAGATCCCACCAGTCCCCTTTGGGAGGGCAGCTGACTGATGCCACTGTGATTCCAGGTTCTAGCCTTATTCTGCCCAACTCCAATATGTCCTCCAGCCGGCCTCTCCCATCACAGGACCCAATTTCCAGCATTCACCATGAATTAATGCAGTTCTCCACCTTGGCTCCACTCTATGCTGCACCGTGTCCTCCCACCAAAGGCCCCCAACTCACCAATTCCTGATTTCGGAGGCCATGGCTTCAGTGCGACCATTAATCATCTGACTCCATGGCA